AAAAATTTTTAAAAATTTTAATTTTTCATAAAAATAAATCAGAAGAGAATTTATAATAAATAAGCAGGCAAATTTGCTTGCGAACCTTTACAGTTTAAGGGATAACGGTACTGATTTCAGAGATAAAGGTGCACCAGAACTTCCACCATATAGATTAAAAACAGATAATGAGATTCAGAAACTCTTTAATTCTATAAGGCAGGACAAATAATATTTCAGCCTAGATCGTTATCCAGCTAAGTCTTGATTATATTAGATTCTGTTTTAGTTTTTTTACTTTCGCGTCAGATACGATCATAAAATCTGCTATGCGTATTACAGATTCTAGTATCAGAATAGGTTAGCTCTTTACAAATAGGGCATATTATTTTAGGACGCGCATTTAAATGTCTGAAACACCCTAAATCACTCATGCATCCTTTCCTACACATCGAATTATCTCTCTTGATGTATTGGCAGATAAAACGACCTATACGAGGTAATTTTGATATTAATAATCTTAAAACTTCGCTTTCACTTTTATTATAGGTATTCAAAAATGTGTCGCATATCTCTGAGATACAATCAAAGAAATGCTCATGCAAATCACCATCGGCCAGGTGGAATATTTTTTTTCGAATTGAACTTTATCTCACTTAATGTAATCTGAATACTACAGAATAATCTAACTACCACCATATATTCTACATACCACTCTATGTCTACTATTACAACTAAGTTCGTTACAGACCACAAACTCACTAATGAGATGAGTCTCGAAGAGCTTAGCCAGTATGCATCAGAAATACTTGAGCTCTTAACAACTGGTGTGCCAAAGGTAGATAAAGAAAAAAGGCGCCAGGCTCGTGATCGTCTTCAAAAAGGATATAAGTTTAGCAAAGAACAGGCATATGTATTAATTTTCCATGAGAGAATTGGGCGGTATATAAGTCAAGTACTGATCCTAGAAGAACTAGAATTAGAAGCCGAAGTTAATATAAGCATAGTATATAAGAACATCTCAGAAGGTGAGACTATTAGAGAAACGGCTCAACGTATTATTCAGGATAATCTTAGTGAAAGAGATATAAAAGCGATATCTAGAATCTTAGTCGAAACAGCTTCTGATTCTGTAGTTGCCTCATCACGTCTCTCTAGGCTTCGAAGAGAATTGCGAACCCTCAATGCTTCAGAAAAAATAATCTCTGCTACTAAGATTCTGGATATAACCAGAACATCTAATAAAATTCAATAGGAGCATACTGAGCAACGTAAAAATGAAGGACTTTATTATCCAGACTACTTCTCATTAGAATCAGTTAAGGAACAGCTAGGTTTGTATGTTGTGTTTAACACACCTGATAAATAGGCTCTAGCTGATGTAATGATTATGCTCTGTATCCGTCCTGCTGAAATTAAAAACTTGCGTATAGCAAATGGGGGTGTAACTGGATACGCAAAAAATTGAGGCCAACAGGATATTCTTCGGGTATTTAGATCACTGGAAAAAAATGAGAAGCGGGCTAAACTACTCCTTACATAGATTCAGAATGCGATTTCTTCCAGACAGTTAAGAGACCCTGAAAAGCGTAGATCAACATACTTAAGTGCATTTCTGAAGAAAGATGAATATATTCCTAAACCTTATGAGTTACTACTCCCTAGTTCTTTGTGCAAATTGGGATCGGTATTTGCTGGCATAATGCATACACCTAAGAATCTGTCAAAATTTAACACTTATACTAGGGAAGCCTTTCGACATTCATCTGAAAACCATATTTTTCCATCTGATAGATATACTATAGTCAATTACAGAAAGCGGGGTCAACCTTATGATTAAGCAAGTCCATTCAACATCTTTGATGAAAACTAATCACATATAAGGGTTAGAGGGGATCCTAGAGGAATCAGATCAGGAGAATTAGCGCTAATCTGATATTATTTATTAATTTCCCTGAAGGTGCTTTGCTATTTTTCGCCTAAGATCTAGCGTATATAAAATATCGCAAAATGGTAATCAATCAAAAGCATTCATCTGATTCAGTGAGCAGGAAGTTATCAGATATACAAAGATATTAGCCTAAGCATTTGGACTAGATAAGCAAAATGCAGGTGTGTATAGTGCACTTTTCGATGAAAATAGGGCATTAAAGAAACAATAGTTTTGAAGATGGTGAGAAGTATAAAACCATACCCAGTGAATTCATAGTTCTTGGATCAGATTGGCCTGGGCCAGATTTAATCTTAGGGATGCCATGGTTTTGAGAAAATGATACAACTTTGGATATATGCAATTCAAAATCATTATTAGACGATAATTTTGCGATCCCATTCAAAGAAATAAAATGAGAATAACAATCTGAAGCAGGCCGAAGATGCTTTGCATAATAGTGTAATTTTATTTTTTGTTTAAAGATACAGCATATATTATTTATGACGCATTTAACCATCTTTTATTTACTAAAACTATTAGAATATATTTTACATTTTTTAGCAATAGATAAATCCCTCTATCACACTCTATTTGTTTCCCGATTGTGGTACAGATGCAGTGCTCCTATTTTATGGAGACGCATTGAGCTAAAGGGAAATAACCGGAGGTATGGCTATAATGTTAATAATTGTTTTCGATTGGAAAAATTTGTAAAAATAATGTGCAGAAAGAATAAACCAGCTTATGCCTCAAATCATGTAACTCATCTAGAAATTACTTGTTACCATTCAGTTTCAGATAAAAAAATAAAAAGTATTGTGAATATATTTCCGAATATAATTCATTTAAATTTCAAAGAAAGTATAGGTTTTGGTGATAGATTACTATTTATAATAGCGGAATCATATCCTAATTTAAGATATCTCAATTTATGGAATGCTGAAGCAATAACTGATAAAGGCTTATGTGCAATCATAGGATCATGCCGTAAATTAGAACATCTAAATATTTCTTACTGCGGAAATATTAGCGATAAATCTTTGTTTGAGATCGCAGAAAATTGCCGTGATTTGCAAGAGTTCCATTTTGCTGAAGCACGTCAGATCATAGATAAATCTATAAGTTGCATCTTAAACTCATGCCTAAATTTACGAAATCTTAATATTTCACATAGTAAGAGAGATATCAAAGATGCTAGTATATTAATACAGAGATGTCTTAGCATAGAGTATCTTGACTTTGCTGGTGTTATGGCTTTGTGGGATGATGCATTAATTGTGACTATCATCAGAGCATCTCTGAATTTAAGACATTTAGATATCAGTCATAATAATATCAGTGATGAGGTTACTGAAGCACTGGCTCATACTTGTCATAAATTAGAATATCTCAATCTGGATTGCTGTAAATTTGTCAGTGAACCATTAATTTGTAATGTTATACGTTCCTGTCTAAAGCTCCAACATCTTAACCTTAGTTGCTGTAATATTACCAGTATGGCTATCAAAGAAATTGCTTGCTCATGTCTCAATATAAAATTTCTAGCTTTGGATAGGTGTGAAAATATTAGCAAAAAAGCCATAGACCAGCTAAATCCAAATATTCATATCGATTTTGATGAAGATTATTGTTTCGATTCAGAATCTTCTAGCTCTGAAACTGAATCAGAGTCTGAATAATCTAGTTAGTCTGAAGTGTGATCGCATAATTTTTGCATATACAGAAAAGAAGCTATGCATGCTAACTAGTACTTTATTTTTATTAAATATAATTGATCTATTAGCAAAATGTCAGATGACGCAGATGAAAGCTACAATGAATTTATCAAAAAATATAGGGAAAGGTATGAATGAAGCAATGAAGGAATTTCTGAATTTACACCAGAGTGGGAAGACTGGGAAGGTCTTTTGCGAAATCAAAATCTATTGGAAGACAAAGGCAGTCAGGCATTGGGGGAGAAAATACTTAAACGATTTGTATATAGTCTGCCTAACATACGAAATCTAACATCATTATTCCATGTATTCATACAATCCAATGCTTTTTATCTCCTACAGATTTTAAGCTTAATAAATTGCCATATAGTGCTGAGGAACTTTGATGGGAAATATGGCCAGAGGGTATTGATACAGATGAGATTAAAATAGGTAACAATGCAAATGAGATAGAGATGTTCCGTTATAGAATGTTACGTCAAGACAAAGATTTAATAGCAGATTATTATTCGAAGGTAAAGAGGTATAATGATATTGTCAATTTCAGTGAAGAGCGTCTTAGAAATAAATTCATTAATGGATTAACACTTGAAAACTAATGGTATATCGCAATGTCTGGATACTATCATACTCTTAATGAATTGGTAAAAGCACTTATTCAGGCAGAAAAAAAAACAATTACCGCATTTAGTGAATATTGTAGACAGGTCAGTATTATCAATCAGAATTTAATGCAGTCAATTTGGCATAGTGGCCCTCCGGCTATGCATTGGTTAGTCCGAGGTAGGGTTTCGCATTTGATCTGATCTGAAGTGATCTGAACATCGTGAACGAGCAGAGGAACCCTAGTCTGAGGTCTGTGATCGCCAGTTCGAAGATTTGCTGAATCACAGATTGTGTGATAGAAAAATAAGTAGATCATCAGTCAGGTCTTGTACAACATATTAATTTTCGCATATATATCGAAAAAATATATTAACCTTTATTCTTTATTTTTTCCTGAACAATCATGAGAAAAATGTGAAAGGAGGTCTACATGCAACACAGGACCAAAAATAGTATTGACAAAAGCATATGTTATGAAAGGCTAGTGGAGTCACAATTCTGAGATCAGCAGGCATAAACTAACTATGTGTCTTGCTGAGTAGATCTACATGTGAAAAGGTATGAGAATCCCATTTGCATGTGCTTTCAAAGCTTTCTTGGCATCATACGACAATGCTAATCACACCTCATATCTCCTTAACTTTTTCCTAGCAAGATATAAAGCATGTAGGAGTATATAGAAGTTTAGCCAACTTTCTGCAAAAATAATTGAGGTATGTTTATGCCAGAAGTTTTATATACATGCAAGCGAAAATTTCTCACAATGGGCCATTGTATTTAGGAAAACAAGATGTCCGATAAGACTGAGGTTCCTGATAAGCCTGACAAGCTTGACAAGTTTCTCGCTGGTGGAGATATTACTCTCAACTGTCTCATTTCTGATAAGGGAGTGAACGATATTTTTGAAATAATGATATCTAACGCTAACAACAATAGAGTCTCTTCTCTTGCAGAGGCAATCAGAACCTGTTATCTAGATCGATTTCAAGATATAGATTCGACCAGTTTGGCTTTATATAGGGTCACATTTATAGCTGATAGTGTCATAATCAACAGCTTAAGAAACATCAATGAATTTGAAGTAGAGGGTGTAATAAGAATGGAACCGCAAGATAGAATTTTTACCCATTTCCCTATATAACTCTAACGTATCTTTGGTGGTGAAAAGAGAATTAATGTTATCGTATACCCTCCTGCTGAAAGGGTGTCGGAGATACTAAGCAAAGATAATTAGATTTTTTTATTCGTATTATGCTATGTAATAGTTTTTATATATTATAGGCCGGGTTCCAGCAACGTTTTTTATTTCATAAATAAAACATATATTATATTCTTGTTATAAATCTTGAAAATGTCACGTGTAATGATGCAATGCCTGTGCAACATAAAAACATATATTAACTGTCGCTCTTGCTTTTTTCTAAAAATAATTTTTTATCTTACTCTGAAACGTAACACTATTTTTTTGTCCAAGCCAAATATCCCTATAAAAAACGTAACACTATGTCAGATATTGTAGATACATCAGCTTCTACTTCTACTTCTGCTACTACTGAAAATGAGACAGTCACATTGGCGGACGAAGTTAAAAAATATGATACTGAGGAACTGATAAATTTCTTGCGTAAGGAAAAAGACTTGAAACTTAGCGAGACTGCTATCAAAATTTTAGAAAAGGAGGAAATTATTGGTCATGGCTTCCTCAAGACAACCAAAGAAGAGCTTCGAAGTATAGGCTTAGGTTTGGGACCTGCATCGAGACTTGCAAACTTCGCTAAGGAGTGCAAGGAGAAAAAGCTGAGGTCGTTCTTCTCGTATAAGACTAAGAAAGAGTTGAAGGAGGTATTATACAAGTATGACATTGATAGCAGTGAAATAACAAAAATTCCGCCCTTTGAACCAGAGCCTGTAGAAATTGACGATGAAGACGAGAAGCTGGAGCAGTGTATAACAGAGATAAAACACAGGATGGGAATTATAGGTTTGGCAACGGGTAGAAGTGAGGCTGTACGTTGCAAGTATATTTCTCCAATTCCATCTATATTGCCAAAAGAATTACTGAGAAAGGAATTACCATGGACCTCCAGTTCGAAGTTGTAGGTGAAGAAGCATCAGGCTGAGTCGATTACGCAATCAAAAAAATAATAGACGTCGTCAACAAGGAGCTGATAGCCATAACTGAGGGAAAACAAAAGGATTTGGTGGCGGGATTCATGCAGAACATAATGCAACTCAAAAGCTCTCATCATACAAACACAAGAAAGAGGAAAGCATCCGTGGCATTCGATGATGAGTTTGACTACCTCTATGGAATTGTGACCACAGGTAGAGCTTATGTGATTTTTTTTTATCAATTACTCGTATATACTAACTCGTATCTTTCTTTATTTAGCCTCAGACTGGTACTTCTTCATGTATACACTAGAAAGGATTTATTGCTCGAAAGACAACTATCACATAGTACTTATCGAGAATATAATAAAAGATGATGTGGAACTTCGCCGTGGTGTTAAAAAGGTTATGGAGGTAATCGTTAGCTTGTTGAAGGATAGGGTCGAAGTTGGTGATTCTCTGGATAGTAAGAGAGCAAGGACGAAAAAATTTATTAAGGAATGATTTTGCGTGTGGGCCATAGGATAGAATTTAGTCATGTATTATGGACTAGGTTCTGAACCTTTGTATTTATTTTTCGCATGTATTAATAAAAAAATAATAATATTTTTCTTGGCAAAAGTGATCAGCGTGAAGAATTCTCTTTCATATACATGAAAGTTTTTTTATTATTTTGAATGCTTATGTATAGTATATAGTTTTATAGATTATGCTATCAGAGCTTGAATTATTGAGACAATGCATTAGCGAGCTTGAGACCAAAAATGCCAAGTTTGGGACTGAGAAGGCTGAGATTGAAGAGGAGAATGCCAAGCGTGATGCTGAAAATGCTCAACTCAAGTCTAGAGTTCTGAATGAGTCGAGTCAAGTCGAGTTTAAAGACTAACTCTATTCGACTCATTTTTTTCGAGTCGAGTCGAGTCAAATTTATTTTATAAAATCTT